TTACTCGACCTACCCATAATGACAACCGGTCGAATCGTGTCAAAATACCACACGCTGTTTGGTGACATGGGCATCACCATGCCTCTCATGTTCTGTGCTGGTCTACGCTCCACAGCATTAAACACGCTTATCAGCCAGCGATCCCGACACACGCATACAGGCGGACAACCCATGTATAGTTCGCTAATAACCAGTGCGCTTCAGGACAACACAGTAGCAAACAAATGGATTTATTTCTGATTACTAATCGCTATTAGATTACTTGATAAACGCTTGAACGAACTAGGGCAGCCAGGCACGTGGAGGTGTCCGTTGGCGGAGATAGCGAGTCAGTCCCCGCATTGTCTTAACGTTGAAACGGCACGCGGTTAATCGACTACTGACTAGCAAGAGCACCGCACCGCAACCGTCCAATGCAGCCACACGACGTGACGTGTCCCATCACTCAGAACCAAACCACGCGTGAGTGGGTGCGTGACGTGTGCGTGACGTCGGTCGTGACGTCGGCGTGACGTCCTGCGACGGCGGTTTAGTTCAGAGCACGGGCCACCGGCATGCGGTGGTGGGAAAGAAAGGCACACACTCACGCGTACATTGCTGGATAGCGAGCCGCCGGCGGCAGAAGCGAGGGCGAGCCTGGAACGGAGAGGAGGCGCCGGTCATATCCGAATACGCCTGCATACAGCGCACAGCACGGACGGCACAGCACGGACGGCACGCACGGACGGCAACAGCACGGACGGCACGCAAGGGCGGCACAGCAAGGGCGGCTACACACAGCGCCACCTTGTACGCGATGGGTGCGGCAGCCAGATCCTTCCGATGCGTCAGCAGCGGGGAAAAACTTCTCCCAGCCTCAAAAGTGGTGCGGTCATACACAGCGTACATAAAGCAGACGGGCGGTTCACTGTCCCCGATTTGTGGCGGCCGCTGTTTGTCGATGAAATAACTGGGAAAAACTCCTCCCAGCCTCAAAAGTAGTGGCAGTCATATACTAGCGTGCATGAAGCGGATGGCAATTCACTTGTCCCGATTTGTGGCGCCGCTGTTTGTCGATGAAATAACTGGGAAAAACTCCTCCCAGCCTCAAAAGTAGTGCAGTCATATACTAGCGTGCAATGAAGCGGATGACAATTCGCTGTCCCGATTTGTGACGTCGCTGTTTGTCGGTGAAATGACCATCAGGGACAAATCAAGGACCAAGTCCATCGGCCGACTGACTGGCGGTAATTTGCTCCACAAATGACAGCGTGGCCGTCAGAGCCTGTATCAGTGCCACTTTTTCGCATCGAGACACGGCTTGCCATTTGTTGCAATCGCCCGCTGCAGAGGGCGTCCTTAGTACCCATTACGGCCGGTTTAGTGCAATCGCTTTGTAATGGGTCCTGGGTGGGAGTAATGAGCGCATTAAAAAACGCGGCGCTAAAGCCAGAGCCGTGCCAAAGCCAGCCCACGGCCAGATGGCACGTGCTGATTGGCTGTTGTTCCCGGGCGGCGTGGCGGCGGCGGCGGCGGGCGACGACGGTTGGCTCGAGATGGCCGCGCTTCCGTGCCAAGACCCACGTGACGTCCCCCCCCCCCCACCCCCCCTCCCTCTTTGCGAAATATCTCTGAGCCTGTCTTTCTGCGCTGGGCAGTAACCTGCTGCTACTGAGATGAGGGCGGGAGAGGCTGAGGGTGAAGAGCCACCGACGATAGAGACGACGAAACTCCTGGGTAACCACGCGGCGCGTACCGCCTGTCCTGCTGCGCACGGCAGGAAGCGCGCCAACTAGTGAGGAGACAGCTCTCTATTGACGTCCTTCTCTTAGATGCACCACCAGACAACATTCCGTTGGTGTTGTACTTTCAGGCACGCCACGCAGGGCATCCCACCACTGCCACAGCCAGGGCACGATAAGCCAGCCGGCCAGGCACATCGCGGCGACCGGCCGACCAAAGCCGCCGGCATTTGCGTGCGCAGAGTAATTACTTCCGGGTGGACCGTAATCGGTGTGGGGGTTTGCCACTATCCTTTAAGTCTCCTTAGCGACGTGGTTGTTTACAGCGCTGATGTATGGCGCGATATTTCACCTGGAATTGCCAATGCTAGCCAACGGTTCTACAGAAGCGCAGCAAGCGAGCGTTGTGCTGAAGAAGTGCGGGAGTCATGTGACCTGATTGCTCAAGCATGGGCCTGTGCACACAAGTGTTAGAGCGGATTTACATGGACTTAAAGCCAGGCTAGTTTCATGGGCAAAACGATCGTTTTCAGTCTAAAACAGGACTCAATGCCGTTGATGTAATTGGACTCGTAGGATTCGTCGTTGCCGTTGAGCTCGTGACCGATGAAGCCAAAAAAAAACGCATCAAGAAAAGACACCGCGCTTTACGAAATCGAACGTACCAATGAAACTAGATTTGACCGTCATTCAACACAACACAAACTAGACTATTTGCGTCAAAATTTTGAGCACTTGCATTTTGGCGCAGTTACAAACATTCGCTTATCCCTTTCGATCACATTTAACCATCTGACGGAATTTATTTGTAGTAGTTGCCAATCCGTCAAACACTTCTGCTCTCGGAATGCTGGCAATCTGAACTAGCTGAACTAGCAGCTCCTGTCGCGAGCGAAATTGGCAGAGCTGAACCAGGCGGCGCGATCATCGTACCCCAAGTTGTGATCAACAACAATCCATGTTGACCCATATTTTGACACATCAACACTTCGAGAGATAAGATCGCGGACCCCTGCCAGATCAAAGCTTGGCCAGACACCCGAATCGCGATTCAAAGCCTGGCCCGACACCCAAACTGCGATCAAAGCCCATTCGCCTCCACGATGCGCCCCTGACGCCACCACCGACATTTCACACGCTCCGCCGACTATATCCATCCGACTAACTTTACACCCATCCCATCCCCCATCTCCCCATCCCCAATCCCCGTGTCACACCCGCCTGAGCGCACATACCCACCGCGCTCGGCGGTTCCGGCCATACCTCAGACGAGCGATGCCGGGGGTGATGACCCGCCTCACTCCCCCCTCCCCTGCATCGCAGGAGCGCGGTGTATGCGGGCGCGGCGGCGAGCGCGGTCGCCGCCGCCGCCGGCGGAGCGCGCCGGCAGCCGCGCGCGCCGCCTTCCGCTGCGCACTCCGCACGAGCCATTCTTGGCGCGCGCTCAAGAAAAGCGGTGGCGAACGCGGCGCGCCGCTGGCGGCCGCTGAGAGCTCGCGCTCAGCTGTTGACAGGCGGCGCTGTCTTCTCGGCGCGCCACAGTTTGTCTCAGCGGCTGGCACGTGTCCGCCGGGGAATGGTGAGGGCAGAGATGGTCTGATGCAGGTGACTATCGCATGGATCCCAGGAGGGCGTGCAGAGACGGTCTGGTTGCGGGTGACTATCGCATAGATCCAAACAGGGTTGCAGAGACCGTCTAGTGCGGTGGTGACTATCGCATGGATTCAGGAAGGGTGCAGAGACGGTCTGGTGCGGGTGACTACCAATGGATCCAGGAGGAGGTAGAGTAGAGACAGTCTGGGTGCGGGTGACTACCACATGGATCATGAGGGTGCAGGGACGGTCTGATGCGGGTGACTATCGCATGGATCCAGGAGAGGTGATGGCTGGTTGCGCCAGTGATTGCCCGGCTGACCTTATAACTGCCTGTTGGGATATCCAGGATTGCGTTCAAACAACGTTAGGCCAAGAAGTGTTCCCGACTACCTTCAAAGTCGAAGAATTAGCGCCTACGCTTTCTGTGTTGGGAGTTGGTGTGGATTGTTTAGAGAGCCCTCTTCCCCGAAAAGCGCGCGAGAGTGGCATGTCTCTCCGGGGGGGGTGGCAGATTTAATGAGACAGACTCCATGCTAGTAGGTGCTGAACAAAGCATTGGATGACGCCTGCTGTAGCAACACTGGACTGTTTCAATAATTCGACAGCCAGGCAGAGAACATTGAAACATGGACAGTATACCCCTGAGCGATCTCAAATGTGGTCCGAGGGAGTAACAGGTCAGCCCACTTGTATTTGGCGGCATCACTAGGATGAAATCATCACTTGGACCATCATCACTTGGATGAAAAAAAGCAGGCGGCAGTGCGACCGGAGCGGCGGCAAACGCCTTAGATGCAGCCGGATGATGGAGCGGCTGGAGATGGTTGACCTCAAGAAAGAGTTCGTTATGAAATCAGATTTTGTGTTGAGTATACACTTATCGTGACTGACTGCACCATTAAGAAAGTGCTTGTTGGTGACCAAACATTTTCAACCACTGGTGGAGGATCTGGCCTTCCATTGTCATTGAGAATGTAGTACCTTTCATGATGTCTGGCATACTTTAGGTGCATTATTTTCCCATTGAAACACGCCCATTTCAGCGGCCTTCCTATGCTAAATGTTCTTGGCATTCTCTACTCTGCGCACAAAAATGACAACTTCCCTAAGTTTTTAATCCCGTCTGGAAAGTCTCACCTCACCAAAAAGACCCATTCGGTAAACCTATCTTCGTTACTAGACATAACTGACCGCTTTAGAAGCCCCCGCATTAAACGGACGATGTGCTACAACTCGGTCCACCACAGACGCGCAAGTCGCAGAAGTCCCTGTTACACAGCAATGGGCCTCAAATCCATTACGTTCACGTTATATTGAGCGCGTAGCAAGAGTATCTGAACCTGATGAAGTCACAAAATGTGAATGGTAAGGTACAGTAAGTGGAAGGCAAGCGTCCTTGGCGCATGGAAGGTACCGTGATATAGATGGAATGAATGCCACACGACCTATTCCGTCGGGAAGACCATGAGTCGAGGCCCACAGAACCGCGCCGAAAAGGAAGTGTGGCACTGGCGTACGGGAGAAGCTTGGCCGAGGAGTGAGAAATAGGATCAAAGGATTGCCCCCCCCCCACACACCCCCACCCTAATACGAGCAGTTGGACGCCCCTGGGTGGTCAGAGAAGAGCGCCTGTGACAATCCAGACCTCCAACGAGCATTGCATTGCAATTAATTTATATTTTGCCACCAGTCATCTTGAGAAGATTACGCGCAACCCTGATGAATGGACCATGGAGTTAGCACAAGCGTCTATGGCCCAAAATGGAGCTGGGATCAGCCAGCCGGAGCTGGGCTTGGCTTGATCTCAGCGGCGTGCGGAATTGTCATAAATGGAAACGGATGCAGGCAAATGCGTGCCAATCTACTGTATCAGAAAAATTGCACTGAAAAACGACATGGTGTCAAAAACGATGCCGCTTGCATGACTTGAAGCGCTCTGCACAGTGGACAGCCCGTCAATGAGAAGACGAAAACACGCGCATGTAGCAGCGATAGCACAGGATCATCAAATTCCTGCGAATTTTTCGCCAGGGGCTCAGCAGCACCTTCCGGGCATTGTCGAATGTTCTGTGTAAAATGACTAGAAGTCCTTTTTTTAGAAGAAGAAAAGAAGGAAACCAGGACGAAGTCCTGTAAAGAATCATAAGAAAGCTGGCGAATTGTGCCCGTTGGGACAGTGAAGCTGTGTCAGACGCTGAGGAAACACGAGCAAACAAACGGCCAACGGCCGGCTGGTGCGAGTCACATGATGGTCACGTGACGTCACTGCTGCAGCTCTGATGCTGGAAGCGGCCGTTGTACTGCATAGGAAGGTCGGCTGTTTTGGGCTGGTATGTGGGTGACGACAATAAAACAACGCAAGCCTCTCATTTCGTCATAATTTCTCTAACTGTAAGCCTTATTCAGGGGCATTCATTCTGTGTACTTATTTTCACACCCTGTCCAAGAAAGGTGAAAAATTGGGGCTTCTAAGAACTCCTCCAACCAAAGAATTTACATCACATTTTCGCTCTAAACGCGTGTTTAATGTTTTTAGAGCATTTTTCATGCTTCCAGGGCTTGTCTGAATATATGTTTCCTCGTCTCTCCCTTGTTTACCCCTACACGCCCAGGCCAGTGTCCTGCTCGAGATGAGCACCCCTTGACATGGGCGCGGAGGCACGCCGTGCGTGCTACTGGGCCCATTTCTCTTTTGGTACCGTTCGTATTGTCAAAACTAAAAAGTTTATCTAATCGGCTCAAGAGGAGCCGCGGTCCAGTAAGAGCTTGGATCGGCCCCTTAAGACCCACCAAAAAGTGTGCCTAAAAAACAATAATACTTCCTGGTCCCAGCCCAACTTAATTACGTACGCTGGACGTCCTGTTATGAAGGCTATCAAGGCGACCTAACCACACGAACCCTTTCGAAAATCCTGCTGGTTCATTTCGGTTTGTGTCGTTTGTGATAAGTTGAAAACGGTCGCCCGTCCACGCTCAAAACCTTGACGCCGAGTTCATGATGTGAACTATTCTGAGCCCGACGGTGCTGCCCCCTGCGAGAGCCAACTCAGACGACCACACAAACGGAGATGAGAGAGAAGAGAAAGAAAGGCGGCATACTGACCCCACTCACCAGCCTGTAGGTTGCCGCGCGGCTTCGCGCCCAGGTAAGCCAGATTCACATTGGCCTTGCGCCCGTCGATGATGGGATTAGGGTCCTTGCACGCGCGTTCCGCCGCTGCCTTGTCCGCCATCGTTACCTGTCAAAAGGTCAGAGGTCAGCGCGCCGCTTCGGACCACGTGACCTGGCCGGCGCGGCGATTGGCCGGCGTCGGTGACACCTGACAGTGCTCGAGTGTTTACTCGGGCGAGCCTATTATTAGCTGGGCGGGGGGCGACCGCTGTTTGCCGGCACTGTCGTGAGATGTCGCCGCCGGCGCGGCGGGCCGGCCGCCACCCCCAGCCGGGCCGAAAATAGCGGCACCCGACGGAGGAGGCGCCGCCGGCTCCGATTACCCGGACGACGGGCGCCGCGCGCCGGCGGCAGACACAGGTGATGCTCCGGCGCCCCACAGCTGCGGGCCACAGCCGCGCCGGGAGGCCCCGCCGGCACCGCTGCAGCCGGCAGGCACCCGACGAACTGCTGATGCACTCCCAAACGGATACAGAAGAGAAATGTATGCTCGGATTGAATTACAGTGATGGTGGAGATCTTTGTGATTTGTCGCTAGTTAGTTGCTAGTAGGCAGCCACAACGGCTCTTCTGCAGCCATGATCTTGCGTATTTCCTACCCTCGAAACGCGGTGGCAATCTAGGCATTGAAATCGCGCCAATTCACATATGACATCGCACAATACCACACACTCACACACTGGAAAAGGCACGACACAGCAATCAAGCACCCCAATCACAGAGCCAAACCTTATTTTCAGTCGTTAGTAAAATATAATCTTCCGTGTGAACTGAACGGTCCCGCTTGACCATGAGGTCAATAAAACGCATTTATGTGGGGTGCCGACAGCGTAATGGTTAACGCGTCCGCGTTAAGTGCGTTAACGCGTCTGCGTTAACCACCGCACGTCTGGGAGACCAGAGGTACGGGGTTTGCATCACCGCGGTGCCCACCCATCCTGCCAGGGTGAGAAGCAGGCGACGCCATATGGCCTCAGCATCTAAGTACGTCGTAAAGTCCCGATGACGAGACGAAACGTGTTCTTGTCAAGCGTCATCGAGATCGCGCAGGGCGTCATCGAAATCGCGCAGGCCTGCAGTTGCGCATTCTGTTTCGTACTCTGCTACGAAATGACTCATTTAATGTTAGTTGGCGGCAAATGCCAAATGAGGGGCCTGGAAAGGAACAGACATGCTCAAACTGTTCAGGAAACAAACACGAGCTTGGCTTCTGGCGATTTTCCATTACTACCTGCTGTGTTTGTGACAAGCCTTAGGTGCACTTTAATGGCGCCAATGGTTGACGTCAATATTTACTACATTCGTGTTGGCCTCTCGTGTTGTTTGGTCAATTCGAAGGCAACACTGACGGTGCGAATCCGTTCCCGGCCGTAACGTTGTGTGAACGGACGAATAAATGCTGTCCACTGAAAGAAAGAAGTCTTTTGAACCAGCTTTTTACGTTCAACTCCACAGACTGTATATTTGCTGCACACTACTTGGAACCTGCGTGAGCGTTAGGGGAAAGACGGTGGCCCTGGATATGATGTCGGCCGACTCTCCAGAGGATTATCCCTGCTGAACACCACGCAGTGCTGTGATGTGCGGTCGTTAAGATATAAGGCTGAAAATAGCGTTGTAGACCGACTAGGCCGTGTGAAGACCGACTAGGCCGTGTAGACCGACTAGGCCGTTACTACGCCAAACTGAAGATGCCCGACTTATTAACCTAGGACAAAGGTTTTTTTTAATTGTAGGAAGGGGAGCAGATCTGAATAACTTTCCAATTCGTTCCATACAACTTTAACAAACTCTCTCGAAACAAGTGGAGGAGCACCTATTTGTGCTTTTGAAAGTACCTACTTTTCAAACGTGTGGAGAGTTATACCGATGACTAATGCCTTGGCGTACGGTTTCGGTTCCAACTATTGGTCACAAACTTTTCACTGACGCAGGTGCTTACCAACGCCTCAACTTTTGTATCATGATACAAGTTTCTCAAAGCCGTTAGGCTGGAAAAAAAAATGGTGGGTTCGTATGTTAAACATTACCTACCAGGAGGTGCCAAGAGGTTCGGAGCAGCATATCAAGCAAATAAAATTAAACATATCATGGAAATGACCCACTTTTCAGGCTGAACTTATGGTGACGAGCGTGCCTAAAATCGGGAGCTTATGGTCTCTTACTGATGCCGGGTTATTTACTTTGTAGGTCAGTTGCCCTTCAGCGTCATCAGTCATGCTGCTTTTGCACTTGCAGTAGTAACGTTTCCGCGCACTCCACCTACATATTCGGATCCTACTTGGCCACGTTTCCCCTATCGCAGGTGATAAATTAAATTACCCAACATATTTTAAGTGTTTATCAGACATCACCTTCCGTAGTAATTTTGCTGCCGGGCTTTCTGCACAGAAGACACGGGACGTTGCGCCGGCCACGTGATACCAGACGCGCTCCGACCAAGACAACAGCGATCAAAGACCGGGGCGCAATCGTGCCCAACGCATCGTTAACACCGCGATTGACAATTGCCGCGACGGTGCCGACGCTACTCGTGACACAGTTTGCGACGTTGCAAAACGACGCAGAACAAACTGACGTTATTGGCCATTGCCGCGCGGCTGGCGTTACATTCCGACTCACTCCGCCCACCGCAGCTGGGAGCAGGCTGAAAACCGGCCTCCAGGTGTCTACGCCTCTGCCTTCGGACGCCTCCGCCTCCTGACATCACTCTCTTCCCTCCAGTTTATCGCCGGACACCTCTCCCTCCAGACGCGCCTACCTCCAGACATCCCTGCCTTCCCTCCAGTTTATCGCCGGATACCTCTCCCTCCAGACGCTCCTAACCTCCAGACATCCCTGCCTTGCTTTCAGTTTCTCGCTGGCGAGCCCTTCCCGTGCGTTGTGAAGTGCGTTGTGCTGGCGAGCCCTTCCCGTGCGTTGCGCGTTGTGGCGCAGCGTTGTGTTCAACGCTGCGCCTCTCTGTATACGCGGGTCGCGCGGTGTCCCGCCCCGTCCTCGCAGTGCAAACCCCCGCCCCCACCCCCCAGGTCCGTCAGCGCGAGCCGCGCAGTGTCCCTGTCCTCGCAGTGCAAACCCCCGCCACCACGCTGGCCCAGGCGACGCTGCCTGTTTTTGAGGCGCTCCGCGTGGGGGGGGGGGGGGCGGCCGGCGGCGGCGGCGGCGGCGGCGCGCGCCGGCCGATACCCAGCCCGGGCGGGCGGCGGGATCTGGACCACGTGTACCGCGTCCGCCGCCGGCCGCGGGTGTGCAGCGGCGCCGTGACGTCACGACATGACATTTAGCGGGGCCGGCGAGGGACCGGCCAGCGGCGTCCATGGTGACCTTTGACGGGCCACCTGGGCCGGTCGGCTGACTCAGCGGCCGGCCACCGCTGACGGATGAGGGCCGCTCCCAATCTGGACCGGACCACACGTATCGTGCTAATCGACGGAGCGGCGTCGGCACCGGAGTTCGGCCACGTCCGAGCTTGGCCAGAGGGGACTGACTCGCTCTAAGAGCAGATTGATTGGGCTTGCGTGGCGGGCTTGGCTTGACACTGGCCTCCAAGCGTGTCAGGCGTCCGGGTCCGCCTACGCCTCAGGCTGCAGGCGCCAGGGTCCGCCTGCGGCTCAGCCAGCAGGCGCCAGGGTCCGCCTGCGCCTCAGGCTGCAGGCGTCACGTCATCGCCACGCTGGGAGGCCAGCACCCAGTCAATCCTGATACACAAACTCAATCACCTAATCATTCTAGTCGATTGGGTTGTTGTTTTCATTAAGAAACGACATTGCATTGGGCAAACAACTGGCAATCACCGAATCGCCTCACGAAGGCGATGGTGAAGTTCTATCAGTCATATTTAGGCACTGCTCAGGGTCAAAAACATTACTGTTACTGTTGCCCGTACCGCGGGAGTTCACACAAAGTACGGATGTGGTGCGGCAAAAGTCCATTTCAATTCGTTTTTGGTCGCAAGGCACCATGGGCCTGACTAAATTTCATTTAACAGTTCGAGGGACGAACAGAGGGTGCTGGGTAAGTTCAAGAGTCGTTGTCCTTGTCGAGTTCCCCCTCCCCTCCCCCGCTATCGGTTGTCGCGCGCCCGTCACTGCCGTGACGGTACACAAGATGAGAACTTCGCCATCAAACCTGTGGCACGCACCCAGCAGTGCCGCCGCCACCCCATGAGCAAGACATCTTAGGAGCCCGGGTCCTGCTGCAATCCATCATTTCAGGAGCGCTGGTCCGTCCGCTACCCACAGCCGGCCTCCTGATCAATCCTGACCCCCTCACACCGCCACCACCACCACGCCGGCGCCATCTGGGTCGCCTGGTGTTCCGCGCCGAGGCCGTTGGGGGAGGGGGGGGGGGGCGGTGAGTCAGGGACCGGTCGCCACAGGTGCCGTCCCAGGTGTGTTGGCCCGCCGCGCCACCACAGCTGAGCGTCAGGCCTCCACTCCCCTCCCCTCCCCTCCCCTCCTCGCCCCAGCCCGCCCTAGGCGCCACACCAGGGGACGCGATGACACGAGGCGGCCGAGCACGTGCCGGCGGCCGTCCAGGACAGTGCTGCCCCCCCCCCCCTCCCCCTCCCCCACAGGTGACGACCACGGCGGCGCGAGGGAGCATCCTCCCGCGTGCTGCCGCCCTGCGTCGCCAACGACGCAGCACAACGAGTAAGCCGACGGCTCGCCCCGCGCCTCCTCCTTTCCGATTGGCACGAACAGGTTAACAACGAGGAGGAAGATTCTCCATTTCAAATGGCACAGGGCGGATGACGGCGGCTGGACGGACGCTGGTGGCGTCTGCTGCACGGCAACCCTGGCACGGCAGAAAAGCAGCCATTCCCGGCGTCCTCCCCTCCCCCTCCCCGCCGCCGCGCAGAAAGCTGCCGCCGCCAGACTGAAAGCCAAGCCGGAGCCCGAGACAGTGAAAGCGGTGTGCCACGGCAGTGAACGCACGTCGGAAGCCTGGGCGGGGGCTTCGGCGGCGCGCGCAACTCTTGGAGCTGGCTGGCAGTGAATCGCTGCTTGCCGCTCAGAAAACAGGGACGTTGCTTCCGCAGCTGCTGGGCGAAACATGCCGCTGACT